CTGAGTTGCCCAAGCTGACCTTGAACTTGTAATCCTCTTGCCTTAGCCTCCCAAGTATCTGGGATGACACACGTGTGCCACTGCCTCCAGCTGGGGTTTTCTATTTCTTAAAAAAAAAAAAAAAAAAAAAACTTTGGGATTTTGATAGGTATCGAGAGGAATCTAAATTTTTTTTGGTTGTAATAGCTGAACCTCTGAATCGGTAGGTTCTGCATCTGCGGAATCAACCAACCATAGACTAAAAATATAGTCAGGCCTATGACAGTTGTGTTTATAAAAACATTTACAAACATCTTCATGATTCCCTCCACAATACAGTGTGACAACGACTTACACAGCCTTGCATTGATAAGTCATAAGGAATCTGGAGGTGATTTTAAGAACTCAGGAGGATGTGCGCAGGCTCTGCCTTTCAGGCAAGAACATCCACAGAGTTTGGGATCCATGGGGATCTTGGAACCCATTCCCTACAGACATCGAGGACGACCATATTGAGGTTTCATAGTTCTCAGTGAGCAAGTGAAAAAGGAGTTCTAAAACAAGCCATGATCGTGAGCCCGCTGGATATCCTTGACTAGGATTTCTTCTACTTTTCAATGTCTGAGATTCTCCAATATTTAATGTAGCCTTGAAGCTAACTAAATCTATTGAACTCTCGGCCAGAAAAGCACAATAGATTCAATCAAACATTCATTTATTGAAACCTTTTGATATTTCAGGCTGTTAAAAAACACATTTCACTGTAACAGGAACATTCTCCCTTGAGTTGCTCCTTCAATGAATCACTTTTCTCAAACGATTTTACTTCTGGGTGGAACACAGTGCTGGTCACCCAATAACGGATTTTAGTCTGAAACCAGAGAATCGGCTCGTTTGACTAACTTCCAAATGCCACTTGGTTTTCTTATTTTTCTATTCTTCTTTATATAGAACAATTTAAATAGTGCACATGACTACACAGACCCCAAAAGAATTTGGTCACTGTATCTGGGATCATAAATTTCAGATTAAGTCTCCAACTTACGACGTAACCTCCCTCTGCTCCTAATTCTGTCTCTTGGCCACAGCACGGCATGGTTATTCACCAACAGCCAGTGCATCCCACAAACACTTACGGGCGTTACTCTGCCCTGGGAGCTCAACCAGATGCTGAGTGTCCCTGATCAAGCAGAGATGTCTTGAGGTACCCCATTAAAATGAGAACAACGCTCAAATAAAATGGCCTGTGGAGAGCAGGTCAGTGAAAGTCATTCTTTATCCACAGAGACTCTCTTCCAGTTCCATTTACTGAATCCACGCAGACACCCTGACCTAAGGCTCACCTTGTAAGAACGTATATTATATTCTGAAAACTCGTCATGCTCCAATCAGAAGCAAGTCCAATTTTTAATTCTTTTAAGAAAGGGAAAAACACAACAAAGAAGAAATGCCATTGCGCTGGGAAAAACCCAAACCCAAGAAAAAAGAAACACTAACCCGCAGCCGTCCTGACGGAGCTGCTGATTCGCTGGCACCTGGACAGTGCAGCCACCCTGCTGCCGGGGAAATAAGAATGTTTATGGTTTATTTTCTTTGGGTTAATAGTTCTCCCCTCATGTGCATTCTGTTTTTAAGAAACAATGATGAAAACAGAGCCCAAATCCAGCAAATTTACCTTTATATGGTAACGGCACCCGTGTTATTTGGTCTAGTGCCACTTGGAAGGATGTGAAAGCTGGTTTCAATGATAAGATGGCCATAAAGACAAAAATCTTTTCAAGTCAGGAAAAAAGTTCTTTCAAAAATAAAGTGTTTAATTGCAATCAGGATGGATTTGTCTGAAATCCATCAGAAGCATCCACTCCTGAGTTCTGCACGTGTGTGGATCACCTGCATAAACAGGTGATTCCAGAGCCGGGCCTGTAATCCCAGCTACTGGGGAGGCTGAGGCAGGAGGAACCCAAGTTCCAGGCCAGCCTCAGCCACTTAGTGAGACCCTGCCTTAAAATCATAAAAAGGGCTGGGGATGTAGCTCAGGGTAGAGCCCTTGAGCAGCAGGTGTGAGGCCCTGGGTTAAATCTCCAGCACTGCAAACAAAACACTCGTGATTCCAGGAGAAAAATAAAGCCAAATAGGACACTGATATTGTAACCATTTGATTTTGCCCACATTGTATGTCTAATTGATGATCTTTCTGTGTGTGTATGCATGTGTGTGTATTTTACAATTTCAGACATTACTGATAAAATGATTGTCTAAAAGTCACCATGACTAGGAATTATGTACAAGGTGAAGTCTGCTAAATTGCTGCTGCTACTAGAACTTCCGCTGAGACAATTTTTGGTATGAATTTGGGTTAGATACAACCCCCAGGTTATTTAAAAAATGAAAACCAACAAGGACTCACCCCGTTGGCAAGTTAAAAACTCCTTAGGTTGTGGTTAGAAAAGGTTGAAACAGGCTTAAGATTGTGAGGTTTCTTGGGCTGGGGTTGTGGCTCAGAGGTAGAGCGCTCGCCTAGCATGCATGAGGCACTGGGTTCCATCCTCAGCACCATATAAAAATGAAATAAAGATATTGTGTCCACCTAAAACTAAAAAATAAATATTAAAAAAAAAGATTGTGAGGTTTCTTGCAAGAATTCTTGTGAGTATAAATTTGGGATAAACTGGTTTGAAGAACTTCTCAGATACCAAAGTTTTTGCAAGTTCAAGTTTCTCGTGTGAAACAGGGTAGTATTCGCATATAAGCCACAGCCCCCCATCTACTTTGAATCCTCTCTAGATTACTTAAAATTCCTAACACAATGCAAATGCTATGTAAATAGCTGTCACAGAGCACTGCTTAGGGGCGGTGACAAGGAAAAAGGTCTGCACATCACACATTCATGGGAGCCATTGGGGGGACTATTTTCAATCACTCACAGAGTGACACGAAGGGCTGGAGGTCATACATGTGGTTTCTCACATCAAACAGCAAGATTTACTTGTTTATAATATAAAAATTTTAGAGCTCTTAAAAAGTATGAGAAAACTAGGAAAGACAATTTCAAAATTTCCAAATTGTGACTGAACCCAGGGCATGCCTGCAATCCCAGAGGCTCGGGAGGCTGAGGCAGGAGGATCATGAGTTCAAACCAGTCTCAGCAATTTAGCGAGGCCCTCAGCAACTCAGTGAGACCCGGTCTCTAATAAAATACCAAAAAGGGCTGTGGCTGTGGCTTGGTGGGTAAGTGCCCCTGGGTTCAATCCTGGTACAAAAAAAAGGAAACAGCATTTATAAATTAAAATGACCCCCAAAGACACAAAATTCAGGATAGTGACCCCCCCCCTTGCTCCACCACAGGGAGGGGTGTCATCTGTAGGCAGGTTTACTTGGAGAACCTGTCTCCTCCTACCACTCCACCTCCACTGTCAGCTGACCTTCCCGCACAGCTTGGATGGCCGTTCCTCTGCTGGGAGCCTGCAGGGAACACACCCGTGGGAAGGCAAGCTCCTGCACTGACCCACACTCGGCACTATGGCGCCACCAGCCCAACTTCTGCCAACTACACAGGATGGCCTTCTGCTTCCTAGCGTGGCCCAACCTCCTGACGCAGCTCTCTTGCTCATTCTGTTCCCTCTGGCCCCAATTCCCTTCTTTTCCAGTTAAAATCAACGCCACAGCTCCTCACTGATGTCACCTCCTCTGGAGATCTTGGATTTCACTTGGTGTGATCCTGTCTCCTTGGAGACCTCAGAACACTGGCAAGCACTTCCCAGAGTGTTAGCATTCCACCTTACATCACCATGGATGGCCATCCCTGGGACGCGGAAGGGTCATGCTCTAACTGCGAACAATTGGCACGGTGCCTCATGCATTGTAGGGCTCAGGTGTGGACTGAGTTAAACTGACTAGTTCCACTCCAGGAAGACAGTAGTTTGAGTGCACAGACAGAAAGAAGGGGCAGTGAGGTATTTTTCAGAAGAAGATCAGAACATGAGAAACACAGAACATCGGCAGAAATCCATTACTTCTGTGGGATTAAGACCTACGGCTTATTTAGTGAGGTGTTATGGTGCAACTTGCAAGGCTGAGGCAGGAGGATCCTAAGTTTGAGGCCAGTCTCAGTAAATTAGAGACACCCTGTCTCAATTAAAAAAAGGGGGGTAGGGTGGGGTGGAGCTGTGGCTCAGTGGTAAAGCACCTCTGAGTGTAATCCCCAGTACAAAAGATTTAAAAAAAAAAGACCTATGGGCTTTTGAGGTTATGATGGAAAAATACACACACACTCCCACATATAACCTCTTTCCAGGTAAATAATAAATGAACTAAAGGAGAGTAATTTTTAAAGAAACAAACTGAGGCCAGGCGTGGTGGTACACACCTGTAATCCCAGCGCTCAGGAGGCTGAGGCAGGAGGATCACAAGTTCAAAGCCAGCCTCAGCAATGGTGAGGCCCTAATCAACTCAGTGAGATCCTGTCTCTAAATAAAACATCAAAAAATAAGTATGGGGACGTGGCTCAATGCCCCTGAGTTCAATCCCCAGTACCCCCCACCAAAAAAAACCAAAACTGAATCATTTTTCCCCATATGAGTCGTCAAAAGTAATAACAAAAAAATGTTTAACAATGATGCTACAATGAAATCCTAAATAGTCCTAATTGGCTGTATGTAACTAGCCCCAGGAAAAAGTGGAATTCCTTCTTTTATGAGTACTCCCCTGGAATAGGAAGATGAAAATCTTGAGCTTTTCCTTAATTACAGTCTCCAAAAAAGAAAGAATAAACGAATGAGTAGATTGAATAAGACTTATTTGAAGTCCACAAAAGCTAGTGCTTCTCACAATATTTGGGGGAAGGGACTGGTTTTTAAATATTTCCTATCTATCTGGTGCAACCTGTACTCTTTTATAATACAACACGAAGGCCTAAAGTCTGACATGCTTTTTGTTGAATTTGTCTCAGATCAATAACATGTGCTTCCCCCAAACCCATGTTCTCCAGGCCAGAAGTTCAGGGTGGGTAGGATGCTGCCTACCTTCTGCTCCTGGACTTCGAACACGGCTTCATGGACACTGCAAGCAAAAAGTGAGGTAGGCAGGTCACTTAGATCCATCATCTCTTCCAAGTCATCTTCATTTTCACCAAAAACCATCTCTTCCTCCTCTTCCTGGTCACTGCTACAGAGGTCTGATTGGCTGTCATTCCAAGATTTCATAGTGTCCCTTAGCATCATCCCCTAAAAGCAGGTCTTTTCTGTTTTTCAAGTTCTTAGGATATCAATAGGGCACCTACAGGTAAAAAAGAAGAAAACAACACCGAGGTAAAACTCTGAATGCCACCTAAGGTTCCAATCAATTGGCCTCAAGACAGCAGTTCATCAGGTGCAGCCATTCTATCCGGGAAAGAGCCATCAGCCTTCAAACCAACGTCCGCCAGCCCTCACAGGTGAATTCTATGTGTACTGATTTGATTTGCTTAGCATGTTTCACAGGGCAATGACAGATCTGGAAAAAACCAAGAGTTTTCCCATGACATTGGGAAAAGAAGGATCATATCAACATGTTCCCTGGCTGACAAGCAGCGGGAAGAAAAAAAATGTGAACGAGCACTGCCTGCACATATTTGTTTTGTATTTTAGCTCTAAAACATTGAAAGAGGCACAGCAGAATCAAACCCACGCAAGCCGCTCGCCATCTGTGCCCTGAAGTACGGTCTGATGCACTGCTTCGCCTTAACGGGGTTGTTTTTTGAGGTATTCTCTCAAGACCTCAGTTACTCAGAACCAAAAGTCCTCTATGAAGTCAGTCTTTGTAAATATGTCTTGGAAATATTTACGGTGGCAAAGTTTAACATAAAAGACAATGGAAAAGACGTCCTTTTTCTGAACTTTTATTAAACATCAAGAATTTAAGTTAAAGACCTGGAGCCAACAGGGTCCCTCTGTTAAACACCAGAACGGAAGCTGTGCTGTACGTGTGTGTTACATAGGTCCCCCCAACACCCCCTATTCCAAGATCAACATACCACTTAAGAATGAGTGCCTGAGGCCCAGGAACACTAAGTGATCATGGGTAAGGCCACCTCAACAGCTCCTGAGATTTTTCTCTTTTACTTGCAGAATGATCATCAAAGGATAAAATAGGGCTTTTCCCCCTTTATTCTGATATTAATCAAGACTAATTCTAAAAAGTAAAATCTTCACTCATTCTCTGCTGCTTGGTACTGGGGGACACTCGATGAATGGGACATGGTTCTTATCCTCATGGAGCCCCGGGCCCAAGCAAGAATGTCCCCTCCTGGGTGCCAGTCATCCTCAGGGCTCCTCCTACAGCATCCCGTCCCCTGACCTGTCTGCTCAAGCCCTCCTCCTCCTCCTCCTCCTCCTCCTAGGCAGACGCAGGTGCTCAACATCCCCACCTCCGGACTCTCTCCCCCCCTTCTACCTGGCTGCCCTTCGCCTTTCCTACCAACTTCCTGGAAAGAGCCGTCCCTATTTGCCTCCTTCACTCCCTCGCCACCTGTCGCGCCCCAGTTCGGTGCGGCTGGGCGTCCGCCACTATCTTTTAGCTCCCACTGTCCTCATGACGGACAGCAGCAAGTTCTAAGAGGACGAGGATTTCAGGTCTCAGCTGTGTCTGCCGCACACGACCTCGCAGCCCACCCTGTCCACTCTCAGAGCTCCTCAGCCCCACCGTCTGCTCCTCACCCACCGCCTCCGCACTGGCCCCTCCTCCGCCCTTCACACCTGACCTGCGCGGGCCCCACCCACTCCCCCTGCTGCTGCTCCTCCTCGTCTTCCCGGGTGGTCTGTCCACCGTCGAGCTTCACCCACCAGCCTTCTCAGCCGAGTTTCCCTGTGGTCCGCGGGGTGCCCCGGCGCTCTCTCTCATTTCACCTGACTCTTGAGCCAGGAAGGACAGCACCATGCCTCTTTCTTCCCAAATGAACGATGGCTTTCCTGCCCATTTCCTTCCATTATGCCACACCTGTCTGTGCTCTTCTCCTTGACCAACCCCCTCTCTCAGGCATGTGCAGGCAGGGCCCTGCCCTTGTTTCAAGGGCTCCTTGCTGCTATGTGATTCCTCTGGCCCCAAGTCTCCTCTTCAGCTGATGTGTCCTCCTATTCTCATTGAGACCCTTCTCTATGGCCTTCATTTAGGTAGAGGATATTTCCCATTTCCCCTCTCCGTGTTCGTCACACCTCCTCTGTGCTCCTTTCTCTCAAATATTCCATATTTTCATGTTGGAGAGTCGGGATCATGCAGTGGTCATAGACTGACCAAGGCTGTGGGAGAAGCAAGGGCAGAATCTTGCTTGCCCACCAGGGGACAGAGGTGAACAGGGTAGAAAAAGGTGTAAGAGACTCTGAGCTGCTCCTCGGCCCCTCTTGGCTATATGCACTGGAAACTTCCAAATGTCTGTGCCCAGACTCAGGCCCTTCTCCTGAGTTTTAGGCTGGTATGTTTGGCTTTCTACTGAACAGATATCTATCTGGGAAGCTCGCAGGTCCTACAATTGTTTTGCACTTATTCCTTTAATTAGATTATGGCGCCAGAAATCTCCAGTCTCAGGGAGCCCCAGGAGAGTGGTGGGAAACGCTATCACACTGTGGTTTCCTTATCATCTTTAAGGCCAAGATGTCACGTAGAGTCCCTCACGTCTCTGTTCTATATTATGATCATTTATTTGCAAATCACCCCTGCCTACAGACTGTGAGTGCCTTTGAATCCCCAGCCCTGGCATGGTTTGCAGCCCACCGTGGCTTAACAAGGACTCCTCAATAGAAGCAGAGAGCACCACAAAGAGGACCCCACGGGCACGTCAGCACAGACAAAAGGAAATTTAATTCTGCATGGGATTAGACACAGGCTCTCAGAGGAGGCTGTGGTGAGACTTTCAGGTTGAACAGAGCTTCCGCAGGAAAAGAACCGGGTGTGTTCCGCGCCACGCCAACAATGCGTGAGTGCAGCCAGGGAGACAAAAAGATGAGCGCGCACACAGGTCACATGCTCTCTAGTGGGTGCGGTGCATGGGGTGGAGGGGGTGGCGGGAGACAAAGCCAGATAGGCAGGTGTGAGCTGGGCTACAGAGCTCCACACAAAACCAGTCCCATCAGCACACCATGGCCGTGACAAAACCAACCCAATTTAACTTCCAGTGACACTGTTTTTATCTGCTCCTCTCCCAACCCATTATGAAGAGGCAAAGAAAATACCAAGTCTAGATTTTTAAGAGGGTGATAAGTTGTGTGTGGGGGGGTTCTGGATGGAGAGATTTTGAGAAAGTGAGCTCATTTTCTGTGTGTGTGGTATCAGGGAGCAAGCCCCAGCCCTGTGCCTGCTAAGCACACTACCACTGAGCTCCCCCAGCCCCCAGCCTATGTTTGATAAGACTTTTTTGTTTGTTTCAAGTTCCCTCCTCCAACCTTAAAAAGAAGAAATAGAGTACAGGAAACAATCCTTCACCTAACATAAAAACACACACACAAATCTTAGAATGATATACCTTCATTTCCTGTTTTCTACCTTCAATTTTGAGTTGACTTTGTTCTTTTGCTTAGAACTTCAAACAGAAGTTATAAGAATTGTACAAGGAACTCCTGAATATCCTGTACCCAGAGTTACCAATTTTGCCCATTTGCCTTATCATTCTTTGTCTCTATTTAAAAAAAATTTTTTTTCATGTATTTTGGTCATATATTACAGATTGAACCCAGGGTACTCTACCACTGAGCTACATCCCCAGTCCTTTTAATTTTTGAGACAGGTTTTCACTAAGTTGTTTATGTTGGCCTTGAACTTGTGATCTTCCTGTCTTAGCCTCCTGAGTTACTGGGATTAAAGGTGTGTGCCACCACGCCCAGCTTTTTCTCTATTTTTATACACATGCTCTGAACCATTGAAAATAAGGTGAAGTATATACCCTTTTCCTCCCAAGTGACTTCAATGTGTAAGAACAAGATCGTTCTCTTATATAACCTAAAGTATCAAAAACATCAATATGATCCTATCTAATTAACAATCCATATTCTTTTTTTTTTTAAAGTACTGGGGATTGAATTTATGGGCACTCGACCACTGAGCCACATCCCCAGCCCTATTTTGTATTTTATTTAGAGACAGGGTCTCACTGAGTTGCTCAGCAACTTGATTTTGCTGAGGTTGGCTTTGAACTTGTGATCCTTCTGCCTCAACCTCCCAAGCGACTGGGATTACAGGTGTGAGCCACTGGGCCCAGCTCATATTCAAATTTTGTCAGTTATCCCAACATTGTCCCTTCAAAGTTTTTAGGTTACTATTAATGTATTTGTATTTATACCAAAACATTTCAGTAATATTTATAGTATTGCTACATTTTGTTTACTCACAAATTCTAACATACTTAAAAGACAGACTACTAAGAAGCCACAGTAACTATAAGACAAGTCTGAGCAGTCCTTAAGTATATCCCAGAAAGATTCGGGCTCCATAATCATCCTTCCTAGGATTGGATTCTGGCTCCTTAAGTACTCTATGTTAGATGAACTCTTTTGCTTATTTCTTCAACTATAAAATGGAGATAGTAATCCTCACCCAGTAAGCATAATTAAGGAGATAATAATTAAGGAGATAATAATAATTAAGTAAGGAGAATTAAATGAGAGAATACATGCTCATATCCAGAATAATATTTTGCATATAGTCTATGCTCACTAATTAATTAACATAAGCATGATCTGAGTTAATGCACTGTTGGGCTGAAAGGACCCCAACAGTATCTGAACCACTGGTGGAACTGATATTCAAATCATGAAAAAAACAAAAAGAAGAAAAACACATATCTCCAAATTATCTAATTCCAAACACCAAAAATAAATTAAAAACAAATAAAGCAACAAAAATAAAACTAAGTTTGTATCACCAAGAAAACTGTTTACTAGTAGACTTATCAACAATGTGAGCTCCTTAACTACCAGTGGAGATAGTAATCTGATTCCAGAATGAAAACATTTGAAGATTTAAAAAACAGAGCTAGGGAAAAGGCCACAGTGCCTTTTTAGGGGCCTTACAGAATTTTAGGTCACCATACAACGCATACAATATCAGAGACATTATCATTCAGATTTTGGTTCTCTTGCTAAAGACAAACCAGGAGGGTTTTTTCAACATTGTCAACCATTACATAATTTTCTGACATCAGAAAATTACATGTGAAAAAGACAGTAATATGGAAGGAGGACATTTAAGGTAACTCAGCTGCTGTTTAAAAGGTAAACTATGTTTCACTAGGACAAAGAAAAAAACGCAGAAGCCCATTGGTTCTTTGAGGCTGTTACTGGAGTTTCTGCCAACTCTGCCCGACTGTACTGCAAGACCATGCTCTCCCTCCGTTCACTAACCCAGGGAAATCTCGACCCGCCCAGCAGAAATGCTGAACCCACATCCTCCTGCTTCTGTAAGCAAAGGTCTGAGCTAATCAGGGTTTAGCATCATCTCCAGCGCAACTGTAGCTGGGGCTGGCTTCTGGCAAATTGTTTCTTCATGGAAACATCAAATGAGTGGAAAAACTCCAAGGAGCAGGACCATCTGCTGCACTATGACAGGCCCTGTGACAAAAGTAATCCATCAAAGCAAAATGTCACGCACACGGAGTTGATCTTGCATTTTCTGCTCTGATAAGAAAAAGGTAAATTCCCCTTGGGGCTTTTGAACAAATAATTTTTTGAAAATAATATGCTTCCAATTTGGGGAACATTTTAATACCTTAGCTACATGCACTTTTTAATGTTTTGGGTATGTTCAAAATGCTACAACAGTCCTGGAAGCAAATGTGTACCTCATTTGAATTTATAATTTAAATTTTTAAAAGGCCACTCAGGACTGACAATGTGGAGGTTCTGAATGTCTATCCCGAAGCCTCTATCTTCTCATTTACCACTTACAGGTAAAATGTTACCATTTTCAGTAGCTGAGATTAAAAAAAAAAAAAAATTGGTGCAATAGTAAAGCAAGTGAAAATTATGGGCTGGGGATATAACTCAGCATTAGAGTACTTTCCTACCACTTGAGAGTCTCCATCCCCAGCACTGCAAAAGGAAAAAAAAAAAAAAAGAAAAGTGAAAATTAGATTTTTATATTTTGTGTGTGTTCATGACCTATGCTGTTTTTGCTGCTAATTTAGCATTGGTCCTGTTACAACTGAGGTTCCTACTGCCCCCAGAAATAGCAGTATCTGTTAGCATGAGAGAGAAAACAGAAATAAACAACAAATATAAACTGTCGAGAATATAATAACAGGCCTTAAAGAATAATTTAAGTACAGCCATGAAAGTCTCATGTTATTTGTTTTGCTGTATATAGTTTACTTCTGCTCAATATAATCTCTACCTTCCAGGTACAAACTGGAGATCCCTGACCAGCCTCTACCTTCCATGGTATCTGGGGCAGGGGCCCAAGAAGCAAACACCACTGATTGCCCGGGCTGCCATTATTTCAGAAGCTTCAGCTGAACACATTTCTAAGTCACATTACTCTTCACCAAGGTTTGGTTTTTCTTTAGACCAACAACTCCTATAACATCAGACAGAATCTCATTTCTTACCCTAATGTTCACGTTTTAAAGCTTTACAAGTGTTACATTTCAACAGCAGGAAAAATCCTATTTCCCATAAAAGCACAGAAATCTCTACCCAAGGAAACCGTTTGCCAGTGAAATGAAATGTAAAGCTGATGATATGGGTAATGGTACTCTGAGTTTCCCAGCTTTTTTTCAGTCTTCCTGCATCCAAAGTCCATTTCTAGAATAAACTACATAAACTCTCCAGCAAAAGAATGAATTTGTGCAATGCATAAACATCTAGACCCCGAGTCTTCATAGTATGTTTTTACAGTTTAATATATTGAACCAGAGCTAATGAGATAGTCTTAAGGTATTTTAAGTAGTACATCAGAGACTTCTATTAAATGCAGACTTCCATGCAAAATTCAAACAATGTGTTGTGCTGGGTAGCTTTCAATGAGGGAAATCGAGTATTCTTGGCTTTGAGCCCTATACCAAAACATCACTTTAATCCTAGAGTGTATCTCAAACACTGTGAACTGCTCCCTACTCTAGAATCCTAATCTCTAAAGGAGATGATCAGATTTTGCACGGAAGCTGGAACGAAGCGACCTGGAACAGGTCACTATTGATTGCTCTACCTGTGCAGGGAGCGAATGGGGCAGGTAACAGGTTGCAAGAAGTCACGGAATAAATGCATTCGGCGGTTACCCACGCACCGCGGGGAAGGGGCCCTGGAGGAACAGGGGGGCTTCCACCTTCTGGCCTGGGTTTACCAACTGCACCTCTCCTCCCTCCAGGGGAAGAGCGGGCCTGCCAGCTTTTCGAAAAGTCAGTTTGTGGGAGAAAACTGCAGGTGGAAGGGAGAAAGCTTGTTGTTGTTGTTGGTGGTGGTGGTGGTGGTGGTGATGGGGGGGGGGCGGGGACAACCAGGAACACCCCCACACACACAGCCAGAGAAGACCCTGGGCGCGAGAGGGCTGGACGGGGGTCCTGACCGCAGCGCCTCCGGGGGGCCCCCAGCTCACGGGAGCCCACCCCTCCCAGGCGCCTCCGACGGCCGCTGTTTTCTCTTTTAGGGGCCCCGCGCCCCGGCCCGGGCTGCACACCTGCTGGGAGAGGCCCTGCGCCGGCCTCGCGGGGAAGGGGACACTCACCTGCGCCCTCACCGCTGCGGGAGGCAGGACCGAGGCCGGGGCCGCCCGACAGGGCTGCGGGGACCAGGACGCGGCGACCAGCTCGGCCGGGGGCGCACAGACGCCGGGGCCGGGCGGAGGGCAGAGCCGGAGCCGCCGCCACGCCCTCGACGCGGGGAAGTGGCCGCCTCGGCGGGGACGCGGGCGGCGCCTGGGGCCGAGCGCCGCGCGCGCTCCCGGGCCGCGCCCCCTCCTCCTCCCGGGGGGCGGGGGCTCTCCGTGCGCGCACTCGCCCGCGGCTCCCGCCGCTCGCTCCTAGCGCCGGGCCTCGGGCCCTCGCTCCGGGGTGGGGCGCTAAATGTCCCCGAAAACAGGACCTTTGACGACCTTACCGTCTTCCGCCGTGACCAGCGAGTTTCCCTGTCTCCCGCCGGCCCCTACGACAGTCACAAGGGCCGTTTATAGGAATATTATTCCCGTTTGCTCCGCGCCAGTTACCGTGCACCCTGCAGAGCGCCCCGCACCTTCACCTCGTGTAACCTCCCGTAACCAGCCAACCGGATATTACCGTCCCCGCTTTACAGACAGGAGGGGCTCCCAGGTGCTTAATTGCCCGAGGAGCAGAGACTAGGCGGTGGCCGAGCTGTAGAGGGCACCAGGTGTGTGATTAGGTCCCCCGGGACTCAACCCTGGCGCGGCGCCCCCTCCTCTTCCTCCTCGTGCTCCCGCCCCTCCCCCTTTCCTTTCCTTCCCTCCTCTTACTGCTCTTCGCTCTAAACCTTATTACTACATTAATAACATTTACATCTTTAATGCTCTTTTTTGTTGTTGTTGTTTACAAAGCCTTTTTGCGCACAGTCGTGCTTGTCCCCGAAGCACTAGGAGACAATGGGACCTAATGATGCCTGTCTTGCAGCTGGGAGGAGCCGGGGCCTAGGTTGTTCAGCGTCTTGTCCAGCCCGGGCTGCAGGATTGAGGCGACGCGGGCAGGCATTAGTGCTACAGTTTTACAAAGCAAAGAAGCCCAGTCTGGAGGGGAGCTGGTATCTCTTCCTTTAGCTCACCGAGAAAGCAAGGGGGTTCGGGGGTTGCGAGCAGGAAAGGAACTTGTCTCAGCTCGGGTCTTCAAAGATACGCAGTAAGAAAAAATCAGCTCTGATCACTCGCTCATGCCCCCTCAGAGGCCAGATAAAGCAAAGTGAAGTTCAAGATCAAGGTGTGTAGCATAGTCCAATTACTGTTACATTTAAAACAAGGGGTCGGTTGCTCCTGGGCACAGTCACACGTGTGTCCAATAGATGACCCCTACTTGCTTTCAGTGGTCTCTGCAGCTTCTGACCTGGGGCTCCTGCTCCATCTTGACTAACCAAGTTCTTCACTTTCATTTATTAACAAGTAATTATTGGAGAGCCTCTTTTGTCAAGATCACTCTAAGAACAGCAGTCATATTTCCTTCTCTACCTTTTTCTAAAACAGCAATTTCTGAAAAAATTGAGTTTTTAAGTCCAATGGTTTTGCACACTGGTGGTTCTATACCCCTGCTTAAGATCCACAATTCCCAGAAATGGTTTTGAGAGATCCTAAGTCAAAAGACCAGAGGGGCCTTGCTTAACTCAGTTTCCCTCCGGTGTTGGGCTGTGTGTTGGTGGTTGACTTGCAAGAATGAGGCCTATACAAATCTGCCCCTCAAGGAGCTCACAGATGGGAGAGACAGCAATTGTGATGTGGGTATATGTGTGTTTGTTAATAGAGACATTTGCAAAGCTCTGCAAAGGAGAAAGGGAGTAATTATACTTGCATAGGTCAGAAAAGGCTTTGAAGTTCAGAAGTTATCTAAGTAGGAATTTTGTAGGTAGAAAAGATGGGTAAGAATATTGCATAGAAATAACTACCTAGAGGCATATAGGTATATTCTTAGGTTGGTCTTTCTGGTGAGTATTATCAAGTGTTATTCAAGATTCTCTTTTTTTGCATGCAGTACAAACTAGGTTAAGCAACAAATGGAATCCATCAACTTGCATAATAGAAGTGTTTAGTGCTTTAGACATGGCTGGATCCAGGTGCTTAAACTTTGACATCAGTATTAATCTTCTCCCCACTTCATGACTCTGCTTTCCTTTGTGTTGATTTTTCACGCTCAAGCTATCTTTCCCCATGAGTGGCAGAATGCATGCAAATTTGAATCATATTCTTACCAGCAGAGTTTATTTTCCCCATGTAGAACAGAACACAAAACAGGCAAAGGAAAAATCTAGAAACCACCATGGTAGGCAAAGGAAGAGTTGCCATCTTGTACCAACCAACTAGGTTGTGAGCAACTCGAGACCCAGGGGAGGAGAATGGAATCTTCCACACCCTCTTCTTTCCTGTTGCGGGTGGCCAGGTGACGGTCACACAGTGTGTAACAAATGCTTGTTGTGAATGAACTGGACACCGGAGCACATTTCTAATACTCCCTCCCTCCCTCCCCGCATCACTGTGAGGCTTGACCTACAGGAAAAGAGAGAGTGAAAGCGATCCCTTGGCTCCATCCACTGAAACCCCTGCCAAGGCTGATAAGCATTTTGCAGTCCTGGAAAACTCAAGAAGCCTCGGTCAGATGATGCTACACATCCTGAGGAGCACAGCTCTTGTCTTGCAGGAAAATTTCCAGACCGGAGATTTCATTTCAGATTTTCTTATCCTAACTTGAGTCGGTTTAACGGTCAATACTCTGCAACGTCTTTATTAGATGTGTTAGGCTTGTGCGAGGGAGTAGTGCAAGTACAGAAGGTGGCCACGTCAACTTGAAATATTTTGCTGGTGGGATGGAAAGGGATGGAGCCCAAATTCCACTCCTAGATACATACTCAAAAGAAAGGTGGGTGAATTTCCACTGAGAGAGAGAAAAACAGAGACAGAGACTTAGACAAGAAAGCTCAACATCTTCATCCAGAATATTACCAGATTGGAAACGTCCCCAATATCCATCAACAGAACAATGATAAACTATGGCATATTCAAAAATGGAGTAGTAATATAATAGAAATAGATAAATCTAAAAAATATTTATTAAGCAAAAGAATTACCTACGTACCCAAGGGTCTAGATGTCTGATTCCATTTACATGAAGTTCAAGAAGAGGCGAAAGTACTCTGATGATAAGCATCAGAACCGTGGTTGCTTCTGAGGAGTGGGGATTGATCAGAAAGGGCACAAGGAAACATCCAGGGCTGGTGGAAATGTTCTTTTCATGCCAACAAAATATAAGCCTTAAATATAGCTAATGACAGGTCCGAGGAGCTATCTTTTCACCTCATTTTTTTAGTGGCTGGACAGAGGCAGCAGAATGCTTCATGGAGTCGGGTGTATCATCAACCATGTGTCCTTTGAGCAAGTTCTTTAACCCATTGAGCCTTGCTTTTCTCATATGTTAAATAGAATTGATGAGAACTTGCCTTGTAGGGTTGTTTTATAAATACCAGACACATTAGGATGCCCAGTGAGCATTAAAGGGTTTATAACGTTTACAGGTTAAATTTTATTATTATGATTATTTTTACCCAACAAAAACTGTCTTAAATGGAAGAGGCACCGCTTCCTTTTTTTTCTAGCCTACCAAAGTGACCGTGATGCGTGGAGCTTCAGCAGCCATTTGGGACCAGAGAGTAACCTTGAAGATGGCAGCTACATTTGGAATGATGGAACAGAATGATGCGGAGCCTGAGTCCCTTGTGACACCAGAGCTGCCCTACGAGCCCTGGGTTGCCTACATCTAGGCTGCCTTTACCTGGGAGAGAAACATTTCCGTATCTTATTAGGTGTCTGTTGCAACCAAACATCATCCCAGCTGATATACCCTGATAAGTAACCCTGTAGCTCCTGTACTACCTCTTCACAGCACCTATCACAGTTATAGTTAAGAGGATCATTATGCAATAATGGATATTGCCCAAGTCCCCAACTAGAATAGGTGCAGGGACTAGTTTGTTCACTCATGAGTCCCAGATATATATATATATATATATATATATATATATATATATGTAAATAGTAAGTGCTCAGTAAACGTGGAAGGGAGTGAACAGCTGCTGCTGACTATGAGAAATCCCCTCAGGAGAAACCATGGCGTGGGAAAGGAAGAAGGCAGAAGCCAGAACCCAGCCTGCTTCAACTCTGCCAGGTTTTCTTTGCCCTTCATCTTTCTCCCATCAATGGGCACCTGGATGTGTGGATATTTAGACTCATGGTCTCGGGCTGGGGATGTGTCTCAAGCGGTAGCGCGCTCGCCTGGCATGCGTGCGGCCCAGGTTCGATCCTCAGCACCGCATACAAACAAAGATGTTGTGTCTGCCAAAAACTAAGAAATAAATATTAAGAAATAAATAAATAAATAAACTCATGGTCTGCCACCCACTCTAGACCTCCCCTGGGATTCGTCTCATAGATGGTATGTTTTCCCAAAGAGCCTTCCATCAGCCAGCTTCCTTGGTAGTCCCCTCCTGGGTCCCCCAGGCAGCGAGGAAGGCCAACCAGTTGTTTGCAGGATTCGACAGTCTGTCGTCACCCCCGAGTTCAACATGGGTTGGGAGATGAATGGTGTCCATTTTTGAGTTTTGCACCTTCTCACTACAAAACTGGACTTGGTTCTGTAGGTAATTTGAAAGCAAAAGCATAAATAAGAAAATTAAAGTCAGCTTCACTCCTATGATCCAGAGATAGTCTCTATTCAGTATTTTCATATTTCCTTCCAATCTGAAGATTAGGTTTCTCATTGGAGTCATTGAATTTGGATCTCCTGTCTATTTGGTCACATGAGATTACAAGAATATCCTGTGTTTCAATATTTTAAAGGGTTTTTAAACGATGATCTAAAATTACAGTGATGAATACATATTATGTAATGTTACATAGTATTACAATATTGGCAATTATTGTGTGTGCTCTTTGACTTTTTGAACTATTCCCTTATTTTTGGAATCAAGATTTCTTTCAAACTTTCCTTCTCTAACTAACGCTACAACGAATGCCTTTATACGTAATCACAATATTGCCCTTCTGTTTATTTCCTTAGCATGGAGCCCAGCGGAGGTTGCTAGGTAGAAGGGCATGAAGCTTTAAAAACTCCCGTGGAAAAATCACAAAGTGCACTTTGGAAAGGTGCTGGAACGGTCCCTCCCACATCCTCAACCTAAATCTCACACATCCTCAATAATACTGAGAGCTGCGTTTAATTCTGAAAGGCTTGTCCTGTTCAATGGGCCACAGACAAAAACAACCGGCCAACCAAACGAAAAAGCCATGGCATCTTGATTATTAGGAGAATAGCCTTTTTCTGTGTGGGCATCATTTGAAAAGTGCCCAGCTCCTTCTCCTGTCACCTCTTAGCATTGTTTCATTGGTTACAACAACACGGCCTGTGGGTAAACAGTGACCTTGTTAGGGTATTTCTTGGAATTTTCTCTTAATGACTTCCCTCTTGAAATTTTTCTTTCTTTCTTTCTTTTCTTTTTTCTTTTTTTTTTTTGGATATGGACATTTTACGGTTTGTATGTGAGTGTGTT